TGATTGTTTGTTATATTGGTTTGTATTTGGACCTCTTTTTTTTATATTATTCTAATGTGTAGGTTGAGTAATTGATTCTGTTGGAGGATATCTCTYGCATTATGAAACACCTTTACATAAGGATTAAGCTCATCAAACATCATTTGTTATTGTTCTACTATGTTGGGAATCACTTTTTCCATGTTTGTATTATCTCCCATTGAGCCCATTTGCTGCTGGATCTGTTGGATGGAGGACGATTTGACCCGACCTATGAAACAGTGACACATGGACACTGATTCAGCACGAGCAACAACTCAGCATTGTAGCTTAGTGCGACCAAGTGATAGGCCCATAAAGCAGCTCACTACATCGTAGCTCACAAAAGGAGAAGCTCGCCACAACGCAAGCTCCAGGTTCCCCGAGCTACCTTTGAAGGGATGCGCGAGGGGTCCACTACCCCCACGATGACGCACTTGTGATAAAGCTGAGGATCAACGACTTGGAGGTCAGGCGCGTACTCGTTGACTCGGGCAGCTCGACAGATATTTTCTTCAAAGCCACGTTCGACCAGCTTCGGTTGCAGGGAAGTGACTTGAAGCCCACGAACACTCCTTTGGTGGGCTTCAGTGGAGAAGAAGTCTGGCCCCTTGGGAAAGTAACAGTACCTATGGAAGTCGGCACATGGCCCTGTGTAGTCAGACTCAACCACGACTTCCTGGTAGTCACAACCCCCTTCCCATACAATGCCATAAAAGGTCGGCCGATCACCCATGTCCCACGGGCGGTGGTCTCCACTTATCATTTGGCAATGAAGTTCCCTACAGACTTCGGTGTGGGGGAAGCGCGGGGTGACCAGCTCGAGTCCTGCAAGTGCTATGTCGGCGCCCTAAAGGGAAAGACCAAGGTGGCCGACGACCTCGAACTGGAGTGGCCTACAGAGAAAGGCGAAGAACGAGTTGCACCCACGGAAGAGACAGTCGTTGTTTCGACCTCCGCCGCAGATCCAGCTCGGACGCTTCAGATCGGTGCTTCCATCCAGGAACCTCTACGATCCGAACTGGTAAGTTTCTTACTTCAAAACTTAGATATTTTTGCATGGTCCGCGGCAGAGATGCTCGGTATAGACCCTGAACTTATAACTCACAAGCTCAATACTGATCCTGTAGTTAGGCTTGTTAGACAAAAGAAACGCAACCTAGCCCCGGAGCGGTGGAAAGCAGTCGACGAGGAGGTTGCGAAGCTCCTCGCAGCTGACTTCATAAGAGAAGCCCATTACCCAAGCTGGGTAGCCAACCCCGTTCTGGTAAAGAAAGCTAACAGCAAGTGGCGCATGTGCGTCGACTATACTGACCTAAACCGAGCCTGCCCAAAAGACTGCTTCCCCCTCCCCAGAATTGACCATTTGGTGGATGCGACCTCAGGGCACGAGTTGCTGAGTTTCTTAGACGCCTATTCGGGCTATAACCAAATCAAGATGGACCCGGTAGACGAAGAAAAGACTGCCTTCATCACAGAGTTCGGTCTATACTGTTACAAGGTTATGCCCT